CAGTGGGGACATGTGGGGCCCGAGGTTGACCGAAGCAGGACCCAAACCTGAATTCTGCCGAAGAATGTGCACTCATTGGCTGCTTCGGAATCTGAGTTGCAGTGGCAGAATGGTAATAAATCGGACTTCCTGCTTGCTCCCCAAGCCAGAAGAAAAAGCGAACGTTAACGCAACATTGCAATTTCCCGCAGTTGGGAATGGCAAATTTGTAATTAAACTGAAAAGATTACTGTAATTACGCGGTGAGAGAAAAAAAAATCTGTCATCATTACACGTTGTATAATTGGATAATCTTTTTGTTTTTATTTTTTTTTTATACGTGTGAAAAAAGACTATTAAAGAGTTGATCATAAAAAAATTAATAAAGAGTTTTTTTATTACAATTAAAGGTTAATTATTGGATAGTATAAAAATTTTCATTTTAATTTTAAATTAAAAATTTTAAATTAATGTCTCAATTTAATTAAATTTTTATTGCATAAAAAATCTCCTGTTGTTTCGTAATTATATTTTTTTAGAGTGAAGAAGTAGTGTTGTAAGGATGACAACATGTCACCTTAATATTAAGGGATTATTGGTTTAAGTGAAAAGAATTTACTTTTTTTTAAATGAAGTGTTGAATTTGAGTTTTATGAATAGATAAATAGGTATTAGAAGACCTTCCTCAAATGAGATCCAACACGATTTGATTTTAGATTAGTCAGATTCAATATGGTTATTGGATATTAGGAGGTTAGTAAAAAAAAATATTAAAGGAAAATGATTTATAAATAATTTTTTATCATTTTTTATATAATTTTATGTGTCAATTAAATTATTAATTTTTTTATTTATTTAAAATTCATAATATTAAATATATACACTCATTTAATAATATATAAAAGTTATATAATAAGATTATATAAAAAAAATTGTTCATATATCACTACTTAATATTAAATTCAAATATTTTAAGAGAGAAATGTTTATAAGTTATCTTCTTAACAATTTTTTAAGAATATATTTAAAATTTTATCTTTTGCTTTATATTTTTAAAAATTAATAGTTGAATTTAAAGTTCTATTTATATAGATTATACTTATAAATTTTCATATTAATTTAGCAAGTCTAACTACTTCATTAATTACAAGATATATAACATCATTAAATATATATCAATAAATATAGTTGTTTTAATTAAAAAGATATAAGTGTTAGATTAATATAAAAATTAATATGCATAATCTATATGAATTGAATTTTCAATTTAATGATTTATTTTTAAAAATATTAATAAAAAAATAAATTTTTAAATAGATCCTCTAAAAAAAAATTTTTAAGATGATAACTCATTTTATACTATTCTCATATTTGAATTAGTGATATTATTTACTAATTTAATCAAACTCTTATTAGTCTTATTGTCTCATAAGAGTCTCATAATATGTATAAAATAATATTTACTTTCTC